TCTACCATATTGAATAATTTTACTCAAAATATTTAAAAGGTTTTTGTTTCCTCATCATCACAATATATACATTTTGATAAAAAGCTAAGAAATAATCTTTTAATCATGAAAGACAAATCTATATCATTGAAATAAATTTCGATATCCACAAATCTTAATTTCAAATGAAAAAAAGGGGATAACTGCTTTACAAATTTAATGTTGTCTAATATCCACTTATTGACTATCACGTGGTTTGAGTGTGTGTGTGTGTGTTTTCACTAACAACAAAAATTTACTCATTTATGTTGTCAGGTCAATAGATCAATATTATTTATGTTACTGATCTTATAACAATCCTGTTTGTTTTTCTAGAGAAAAAAAATTAATGGGAATATTAAAAATATGCATGTTTAATCAATGAGTGGTCATGCAATGCTTTATCATATACAAGTATCTAATTATTAATGAATGACATACTTCCGGAAGAAAAAAACAACTAGAAACATGGAAATATAATGAACTTAAACATGAGCATTTGCTATTATTAATTGTAGAGATGAGAGTGATAAAAATAAGACTCATAACTATTCATTTATACCAAAAATATTCTATAAAATCTATAAAATTAAATTCGACAAATTCATTATCCTAGGTGACGTGTCTTGTAGACTTATATCATGTGAAGAACTGTTTGAAAACTTACAGAACTACGAAGGTGTTACGTTCTAAGACTGAACTCTTCATCAGTAAGCATTAATAACCTATCATGGAATCAAACTAAGAGACTTTCAGTATTCAAAGCTATAAATTATTATTTAGATCACTGAGTTGAAATATAATAATCCATGTACTCGATTTTAATCGTTTCACACTGATATGGAACCAAAAGAGGAGCTGATATAACATCAGATCATCACTTGCTGGTCGCCAAGATGAAATTGAAACTCAAGAAGCACTGAAAAACGGGGCGGACAACATCACAAAAGTTCAATACGGCCTTTCTTCGGGATACCGACAAACTCAACAAATTCAAGATAGTCCTCAACAATAAGTTCCAGGCCTTTCATGATCTACTCAATGGAGAAGGAACTACTATGGAGAACAACTGGAAGGGGATCAAAGAAGCAATCACTTCAACATGACGTGAGGTTCTGGGCCACAAGAAGCACCGTCACAAGGAATGGATCACTGTTGATACATTGAACAAGATTTAAGAAAGGAGGAACAAGACGACAGCAATCAGTACCAGGCAAATAAGAGCAGAAAAAGTCAAGGTACAAGCTGAATACACAGAAGTAAACAAGCAAGTGAAGAGGAGCATCAGAACTGACAAACGTAAATATGTGGAAGATTTAGCAACAACGGCGGAAAAGGCTGCAAGAGAAGGAAACATGAGACAACTGCATGACAAGACAAAGAAACTCTCTGGAAATCGCTGCAAACCAGAACGACCAGTGAAAACAAGGAAGGCAAGGTAATCTCCAACATTGAAGAACAACAAAACAGGTGGGTAGAACACTTCAAAGAACTCTTGAATCGACCAGCTCTACCGAACCCATCCAATATCGAAGCAGCACCCACGGACCTCCCAATCGATGTTGGCCCACCAACAATTGAAGAAATCAGCATGGCCATCAAACAACTCAAGGGTGGCAAAGCAGTAGGACCAGACAACATTCCAGCAGAATCACTGAAAGCAGACGTAGCAGCAACTACAAGGATACTCAACATTCTCTTCGGCAAGATTTGAGATGAGGAACAAGTACCAACAGACTGGAAAGAAGGACTCCTGATCAAAATATCGAAGAAAGGCGATCTCAGCAAGTGTGATAACTACAGAAGCATCACTCTTCTCTCAATACCGGGAAAAGTCTTCAACAGGGTGTTGTTAAACAGGATGGAGGAGTCCGAAGACACCCAATTTGGAGACCAACAGGCAGGATTCCGTAAGGATAGATTGTGTACAGACCGAATCGCGAATCTACGGATGATTGTGGAACAATCAATTGAATAAAATTCATCACTCTACATCAACTTCATTGACTACGAAAAACCATTTGACAGCGTGGACAAAACAACACTATGGAAGCTTCTTCGATACTACGGCATGCGTCAGAAGATAGTCAATGTCATACGGAATTCCTATGATAGATTCAACTGCAAAATTGTGCATGGAGGACAATTGAAAGACTCGTTCGAGGTAAATACCGGTATCAGGCAAAGTTGCTTACTCTCATCATTTCACTTTCTCCTCGCGATCGACTGGATCATGAGGACGTCAACATCTGAAGGAAACCACGGGATACAATGCACAGCTCAAATGCAGCTGGACGATCTAGACTTCGTAGATAAACTGGTTCTTCTATCCCAAACGCAACAACAAATGCAGGAGAAGACGACCAGTGTAGCAGCAGCCTCAGCTGCAATAGGTTTCAATATACACAAAGGGAAAAGCAAGATTCTTCCATACAACACAGCATGCAACAATCCAATCACATTTGACGGAGAGGATTTGGAGGATGTAAAAACCTTTACATATTTGGGCAGCATCATTGATGAACATGGTGGGTCTGATGCAGATGTGTAACGCGGATTGGCAAAGCAAGAGCAGTATATTTACAACTGAAGAACACCTGGAACTTAAAGCAACTGTCAACCAACTCTAAGGTCAGAATTTTCAATACAAATGTCAAGACAGTTCTACTGTATGGGGTGGAAATTAGCAGAACTACAAAAGCTATCATCCAGAAGACACAAGTGCTTATTAACAGTTGTCTACGCAAAATACTTCGAATGCATTGGCCAAACACTATTGTCAACAACCTACTGTGATAGAGCACAAAGCAGATCCCAGCGGCGGAAGAAATCAGGGAGCGCTGGAAGTGCATTAGACACTCATCGAGGAAAGCACCAACCTGTGTCACAAGAAAAGCCCTCTCATAGAATCCTCAAGGCCAAAGGAGAAGAGGAATACCAAAGAACACATCAGGCGGAGAAATGGAGACAGACGTTTGAAGAATGAACAAAAATTGAATCAAACTAGAAAGGAAGGCCCAGGTCAGAGTGGGTTGGAGAATTCTGGTCGGCGGCTTATGATGCATTGGGAGTAACAGGCGTAAGTAAGTAAGTATATATTTAATTTTAATCATATCGCACTAATATGAAATACAATACTTGAAAGAAATTAATTCAGTTAATATAAATATTTATAGACTTTATCAGCTAGGTCTATATTATTTTCAACTCATAATTTAGTTATTTGATAATTAAAGAACAGGAGCAAAAGTTGATCATTTTAATTAGTTTATCAACATTCATACGTTTAAATTGAATCGTTAAACTTCTTAGTTTAAGTGAAACAGTAGACTAAAATAGATTTATCTACCAAATTTTTATATTTTAAATTTATCTAAATGACTCATAAATCAATAAATGACGAAATATATCCATAAATATTTCTTAAAATAGTTACTTTCCAGGATCTTAGTTGAACTCTTCAGAGGTTTCTGCAGAGAAATAGAAAACAGTCCTTTTTCCTAGGAAATCAAACTTTTTTGTCGATTTTGAAAATAGATTGTTAGATATTTATCAAAAAGTAATGAAGTCTGATTATTTTGTAGTCCATTCATTCCATTAATATAACATAAAGAATTTAAATTATAAAAATGTGATTACTTAACTGTTATTTTTATACCGTCGGAAATAATATTGAAATCATTCATTTTAAGGCTAAATTGTGAAATTATATGGATAAATGATATGAATAGTTACAGTAGAACTAATTCTTGGTTCGATTTCTAATTGTTTTGCAATATTATTTCAAGTAATAATGTGGTGTATTCTACTTATGTTAACAGATATAATTAGTATGTAACACCAATCAGAAATGGAGGGCCTAGCAGCAAAAGGATAAGAAGATCGAATAGAAGAAAATAAAAATGTAAACACAGAATAATTGTGATGATAACTGGAATGAAATAATGAAGAACTTGGTAAAAGAAAATTAATGGAAGAGGTGTAAATGAAGTATTTAATGTATGGTTTTAATGATTTAAAAAAACACTGTAATTTGTAGTATATAATACATTGGTCATCTTAACCTGAGTGTTCATTCACTACAATAAACTTAATATAAGTTGTGTTAGTAGTAACACAAATCGATTTTTAAATCACATAAACTTTGCTATACAAGATTAATCCATCAAAATTAACTAACATTATCTATTAAAGAAATATATTAGCATTAATAAAACTAACGAGGAATGTTTTTATCATTTTAAAATATTTATCCGCCGAGGTTGAAATTTGTGTTCTGTCCTCAACATCCAGGTCTAGGCAGGAAGAAGGGCCGATAAGGATTCTAAACTGCTCGTACGGGTTTACGCGTCATTGATTCAGTCGATAAGCCACTGTCCTCTAATTGGCGGTATCATTGCGTTTTATATTAATAGGTCACAAGGCCACTAGTTAAAACACGTTGGATACTCTGGTATTTAACAACTTTCAAGGAACGCGTAAATAACTGTATTTATTGCATTCACATGATGTTGTTTACTTGTATCTTCCCATTGTTATTTACGACTGCAGTTGATAAGTTTCTTGTTGACATATGTGCATTCTGTGTTAATTGCCCTGATACAGCCTTACGTCACAAGCTTTTTAAGCAAAGATGGGTAGTGGCAAGCAGTGAAATCCAGGTTTACTCGCGTTTCGTCCTATTTGGGACTCGTCAGCTGGATGTACTTGCATCTTAGAGTTAATGTTCACTTCGGGACTCAAAACCAGTACCAATACAGTATACGGTAACTTCCAGCAATTAATACCATAGATAGTATATGCAACAGCGAAAAGCTCTACTCAAAACTACAATACTTAAATTATCATATTCACTGCTTTGTTTAATTAAAATTTAGATGTAATTAAATTATGTAACAGTTACCCACTATGATTAAAAATACTTTCATTAAAAACAAACAATTGACCATATGAAAATTATTTTATTGATTAATTTGACTTACCATATATCCAAATGTAACTTATCACTTGATATATCGTCTATTTCCCTAGATAAAATGAAAATGTAGAAAACAAGATTGTTCAAATGTATAATCATAATGAAAAAAATAGATTCATAGTTTATTAAAGAATAAATCAGTAAAGAATTTATATTATTAAAACTTTTGAGTTAATTTATTGAATTTTATTATTTAGTTAATGTTGAATAAAGTACCGAACGAAACTAGATTATAAAAAAAAGGATTTCAACATTAAGGCTCCAATGTTTTTTTTATGTATGGTTCCATGTGTTTGTAGGGCTCGATTTTTAAAACTGTAAAAATGTTTAATAGCGATATATATAACTAGAGTGAAGTAATCTACTATGAGGGCACAATTACATCACACCACTAATTGGATATAAGTATAGCTTAGTTTATTTAAGACGATAAAACTATAAATGATGTTTATCAGTAGAGGGTTATGAAGATTGTTTAGTTTTTTATTGAGATCATGAGTCGAGGAGTGTTAGACTACCATTAAAAACCTGGAAGCAACAGACAGAGACCGTTAGTTCTGCGTTCGAATCCCACGTATGGTGTTGCACATGTGCACCACTGAGTAGTCGCATACTACGACGAAACGGTCATCCAGTGTCAGCAGGTTTTCAATGGTAGGCTAACATCGATCGATTCATGATTTCGATTTTAAAAAATAATGTTTAGATGGCTATTTTAAACTTGAATTGGGAAATATGTACTATAGTTTAATTTTCTTAATAAAGTTCAAGTTTTCTTTAAATAGTCAAAGTCAACTAATAATATTAAATAATCTATTCAAAATATATGGACTCACAATTAATTTGTAATCAGTTTATAATGTGAGTTAATTAGTATAATGAGTTATTTTTTATTAACTATTCTCTGTCTTAAACTGTTCTATCATAGTTTCGAAACTATGTATCCAAACTAATCAATTTCCTAAAAGTTACTGTAACCAACTAAATGAAGACGACTCTGTGTTTTAAAAGAAATTAATCATCATTGAAATTAAACCAGATAAAAATAGACAAGATCAAAGTTATAAAAAACTTTCAATAATTTACCCGATGACGTAACTAGTAAATGAATACAAAATGACATTCATTGCACAAATGTATTCATTTAGAAATGACTTAGTTAATAAAAAATATCGAAATGTATTCATATTTCACACAATCTATCATATTTTAAAACCGGATATACATCTCAACTCATCTGTATTACATTTATGTATGTTTCAGTTCAATTTACGTCAATATAAATTAAATATGTCATAATTTTTCTAATTGTAAAATCCTCTAACATTATGAAAACAATAACATTATTCTCAAACATTTTTGTTTTTGTTTTTCTTATTACATATAGAAACAAAAATTGACAAATGTTAAAGAAATCATCTTCAGGACAGTATCCACCCCCACCATACCCCACCCCACCTTTTCAACATTCCAATCTTCATATATTTACCAAAACAAATACAAAACAGGAGGGAAGGGAGTGTATATTTTTTCATTTGAAGGAAACATAAAATATTTATTTAAGTAAAAGCATATAAGTAAATTTAACATTTTTTTAAAATTTGTTTCTATGTATCACATTATGACACTTTAAACTTATTCAATTTATTATAATCTTTAAATAGATTCATTAGTGAGTAAATTATTAATTTCAATATGGAAAATTGTTTACTGTTTATCATTCCCCCCTTTTAAGTTTATTTATATATATGCATATTCATGTTAACATTGTAATGAAAATTACAAAGAAACGTATTATGTATTCATCCAAAACACTTGACAGTCAACGTAACTAACTTACACTTTTTTAAAATAAATAAATAACATAATGAAATGTTTATACAATTTAAAGTATGATACTGTTTACAAGAATTGAGTAGTTGGGGAAAAAAAGATATTCAAATTAAAATAAATGAGAATGAAAAATAAATAAATAAAAGGGAAAAATAATGATAAACCATTGAATACAATAATAATAATAATAACTAAATCAAAATTAAGACAGGAGAGAACTAATATAAATCAAATTGGATGTATGAAATAAAATATATCATTATTGTTTTACATATAGTTCTGTTTATCGTCTTGAAGAGAGTATGAAGATAAATTCCAGCGAAATTATATAAATTTACTTGATTTCGTTTAGTTAATATCAGTTGCTTACACTTTGTAATGTTTAAAACGACAATTATAAAAATAAATTCAAATTATGTACATGAAAAGGTTTTTTTAGAAGTTGATTCGACCATATATTGATTGTAGCAAAAGTTGTAGAATGTCCTTTCATTTTAATTAGTCAATTAAATTGATTTACACCTTTGCTATAACTATACTGATGTATAATCAAAACAATTTCCATAGAAACTCTTTCATGTATATAATTTGAACCCATTTTTTTTTAAATTATGGTTTTTGAATATCACAGGTTATAAGCAACTGATGACAAATAAACGAAATAATATGAATTCATGCTATTTTGCTAAAATTCTATGTTCTTGTTCTTTTCAATTTGTCTTTATAGTTGATAAATATTTTTTGAATGTAAATTACCTTTCTAATTCATTTTACTATGACATGCACTCCTAATTTAGATTGATTATATAGAAATTATAATAATTATTATAAATTACTTCTTTATTTACATATCAAGTTATTGATGTAGTAATGTAGTGTGTGCTACTGATATCGACAGATATAAGTGCTATGTATCACTAATCAAAAATGGAATGCCTGGGGGTAGAAGGTTGAGAAAATCGAAGGGAATAAAAAGAGAACGGAGAGTGATTCGTATAGAAATGAAGGAATAACAAAGTCTGAGACAAGTGATGGATATTTTGAAACTGAAGTATTTACTGTATAATCATTCTCAGATTTTATCAAGATATTCTACAATGTTATATAAAATACATTTAGTTGTTCACAATTGTGTTATTTTTTCTTACAGTAATAACAACAAAGTGACTATTTATATTTTCCTTAAAGTCGTTCACGTGTCTACTTGGACAAATTGAAATTGTCATTTAGTTATTCTTCTTACAAACTTTAAGGCATTTCTATTGTCACATAACTAAATATCATCCATTACTGTTATGCAGATAACTACTTTAAGTAACCAAAAGTGTAATAATGTGTGCGTATTACACAAAAGAACTGTAATTGACCTTAAAAATATTTGGAATTATTTAATTAAAACCATCAGTATTAGATCAAATGTATTGAACCTTCATAATCAGAAGATATCATTAGGACTAATTATTCAGGGTTCCCGATTATCATAGGTTAAGCGTTCTCGTAACAAATTATTTTGTAATTTGTCAAAAATTTATAAATAATCACTAATTGTTACCCCTTGTCACAAAGTAACATACAATCAAGAAGAATGTCTCACGAATTACTTCTTCAGTTGGCAGATTTTCACCATTTTCTTATTATTCATCATTTTTTATTTTAATTTATAAGTATTTTTAACTCTGTCAAAATCACCAGATTGGTATTTCTTTCAAGTCAAATAAAAATAAAGCATTATCGCATTGGTGTAATTCTATAATAAGAGCTTATTGACAATATATTTCTTAATACGATCTCTTTCTAAAGCTACTTTACCAATATTGTATTTGTATTTGCAGATTTATTCAGTAATCTATTGAACAGGGAATTTATAGCAAACATCTGGCAATCCACGAACTCAAGCCCAAACTTTACATGCAGAAAAGATTTGTCCAACCTGTCATGCTTCCTTATCCCTAATTCCCTTAATAGTTAAATCATACAAACTTGGTAATTATTGCACCTATAACTATCCCACAGAATATTTCACACTGCCAAACAGTTAAATAAGGTCAACTTAGAAAACTTCATTAAAAGAATCTTGTAAAGCTCCATCGCTCTGAAAGTTTGAGAAGCTCACGACTTTTTAATTTATATAATCTTTAATTTACTTGGTATTATATTACTTGAATCTTCCGATTGATGTATAGGACTGAGACTGATCAGTCTCATTGGCATATATGCATACTGTGCGTACAGTCTCGATATTGCCTTTAATTCACAAGCATTATAAGCATTATAAACATCTTTAATATTTCTCCTTTAGAATAATAATACCAGGTAAATTAGCACTGAAAGATTAAAGTAACTGATTAATCAATCAATCATATTTGAAGAATTATCTTACAAGAAAATGTAATGTGCGTTAATTAAAATAATAATAATAACAATAATCGAATATTTTATTGTTTTTAAGTCATAATTTACAGCTGATGTTTTTCAGCTGTTTAATGATAGACATTAGAACAATTCTTACTTTTGTGAATGACTTTGGAAACAAATAATCCACTTTTATGTCAAAAATAATATATCAGAAGGGTGTTTTGTGAATATTATGGTAATTTTAAATGTTAAGATCATCAATGAAATAAAACTAAAACACCATGGAAAAAACCTGGAAGGCTTCAAGAGGTATTTCCTGAAGTTCTAGTCAAAAGCTGTGATTAGTGGAGTTCATCCAGGTCTGTTGTGAGTTAGTAAATCACTGAAGACAATGGTAGACGGTGTTGCAACCTCGTGTATTGGTTGAATACTCGCTCAGTGGTCTAGAGGTCGAGTGTTCACGCGCGAGACCAATAGGTCCCGGGTTCGAATCTCGCTTGGCGGGTTCGTGGATGTGCACTGCTGAGGAGTCCCACAAGAATACGAAACGGTTGTTCAGTATTTTCACGTTTCCCATGGTGGTTTAGCTTCAATTGACTCATGATCTCAACTACTGTGATATAGAATTGTTTAGAAATATCAAATATTGGAAGGATATTATTTAACGACTTTAATTTTAATGGGAAAATGCTGAAGATAATTTATAAGGGTGTAAATATTGTTCACCCTATGAAAATAAGGAACCAAATAACTAAATGTTTTATCAATAGCTAATTATTAATCATGTAATTATTTTCAAATAGACCGTCATCAGACTTTAATATACATGAATATTTATACGAAAATGACCTAACTTGCCTT